TAAACTCTGAAAGCTGATAAGCTTTGTTAATTTTCTGTCCTAGAATGCGGTAAGATGTGCCCTTTTTTTTTTTGAGCACCTGCCCCTTTAGTGGTCTCTGCACGGCCCTGGACTAAAGTTTATAATAAAACATTCTGTTGGACCAGCTGTTGACGGAGCTAAAAAACAGGAACTCACAAACCACATCTTGTTTATTTTTACACGTTGCTCAGTATTTTATGTAAGTTAATGGAATTTTAACATTGTACAACGTTTTTGCACAGCCTCGCTGCTCATTAATCATTGTGTTTTTTTGCACAGTAATACATAGCAGAGTCCTCTGGTTTTATCGTACCACACTCTGGTGATTTCTATGTGACTTTAGACAATGTCGGCACATGAGTTGCCTCCAAAATCCCTGAGTGTTTTTTCTGCCAGTCACTTGATCCAGTGTGTGTGATCGTTGCTCCCATCCATAACATACCTAACAGATGATGGTCAGAATCTGAACTGTTAATGAGAAAGTGTAATACATGTAAGAGCATTGTCAGTAATATGGAGATAATGGTACTGTCCTGGTGAGACTCACAGGAAGCCAGCAGCACCAGTAGAGCTACAGAGAACATGTTGGTGATTAACTTGATCCAGTGAAAATAACTGTTGCTCTGTGACTGACAGAATGACACTGACTGTTTATAACACCATGATTCATTTGCAAAATGTCAGACCATCCACTCACAAACGGGTCTGAAGCAACATATTGCTTGGCAGGCTGTATGTTTGATTATGTTAAACAGGATGCAGTTACTTTAGGAAACTGAGTAGCTTGATGCAACTGCCATATTTCTTGAGATTTTATAGGAAGAAAGAACTTCTTTGATTAAAGTTTATATGAGGAGCTTTATTTTCCCCATACTCTTATGGGAAAAATAAGAATATGGAATAAAACATTGTTATCCTGTGTATCATTGGGCAAATGACAAAGTTTAATAACTTTCTGTAAAGTTATTAAACTTTAAAGTTATTTAACTTTGTGTAAAAAATGTGATTCTCTGAAACAGAGAAACACATTCTCTGTTTCACATATGTGGTAAGGAATCTGGAAAAACAGGAAATCATCAAAAACCTCATTGTTTACTAATGCCATGCATGTCTTCTGCTAAGTGAAGAGTTTTTGTACAGCCTCTCTGCTCACATGAACCACTGTGTGTTTTTCGCACAGTAATACACAGCAGACTCCTCTAGTGTCATAGTAGACAGTCTCAGAGTCACCATGTTTTTACTGGTATCTCTGGTGATTTCTATACGTCCTTGGACATTGGTGGCATAGTTGTTACTTCCACTAGCCCAAATAACACCCATCCATTCCAGAGCTTTTCCTGCAGGTTGTCGGATCCAGTGTGTTCCAGAGCTGGTGACAGAATAAGAGACCTGACAGCTGATAGTCAGAGTCTGACCTGGCTGCACAGTCAAAGAGGCTGGTTGTGTCAGCTGTTCACACTTCACACCTGTTGATAATAAGATTGAATTAATGAAAGTGCACAATCAATATGTGTGTCTCAGCATTCTGTCAGTTTCTCTGTGAGACTCACAGGATCCAGCTGCCAGCAGCAGCAGAGCTACAGAGAGCATGTTGGTGTAGAAGATGATCTGATGGGAGCTTCTCTGACTGTGACTGACAGGATGAGATCAATTTTAAAAAGCATGACATGTAATTTGCCTATTGACCAACGAGCCAATCATGAATGACTATCAAGGAAATGTTTTTTTAAGCAAGGTGCAGATTAAGATTATGTCTCTATTAACAAAACTGACCTTTTGTCTCTAAAATATTCTTATATTTTCTTCCATTCCTCTATACACTTCATGAGAAAGACAATAAATGTTCAATAACACATTGTAGAAATATTTTTCATTAATCAAATTTACTCGTTCTATCTATTGATTTTTCATGTGTTTTTGTGGTAGAAAAATATGGATGAATCAACGTTAATGACAGAACGTTGTGACTTATTGTTTCAAGGAATGATGTATATGACCTCGATATATTTTTTTTTTACAATATTCCTGTCTTGCTCCTGTTCCTCCTTTAACAACTGAAGACAGTAGGAATAACTTATTAATTTATCATTCATGTTTTTCCTTGTTATAGAAAAAAAAATTACAAACAAATGTTAACACACTCATCAAATTTATTTTTCTATAGCAGAATGCTGTAACCTTTTGATGCTATGCATCAAAATTATGTTACTGGCATTGACTAAGACAAGGAATAAGGAAGGCAATATTGGATAGAAAAATTTAAAAGCTTGATTTACAAAACATGAGAATAATTTCTAGCTTGATTTGTATTTTCATTGATTTTAGAGGTCTGAGTCTGAGTCTGGTTGGGATTTAAACCCATAACCATGTGAGGAAACAGCAATAACACCATCATGCTGTCCTGTGTAATAGACACAATTATGTGTGAATTTACTTTGAATTAATATGAATTACATGTTTAATTCAGCAATGGCCAATGTTGATTGTCTTTATTTATTACAAATTATTTGAAAACCTAATAAAATTGTAAGAAATTGTAATTTGTAAGAAAATCTAATAAAAACCTTCTTGTATATAAATAGAAAAAGTATATCATGAATTCAGCCTCAAATTAAATGTAGTGTTTCAACTACATATTTGATCTACGACTAAAGCTTATAATAAAACATTCTGTTGGACCGTCTGTTGACGGTGCTAAAAAGCAGAAAATCTTGTTTATTTTTACACAATGCTCAGTATTCTATGCAAGTTAATGCAATTTCAACATTGTACAGCCTCGCTGCTCGTTAATCACTGTGTTTCTTACAAAGTAATAGCAGAGTCTTCAGGTTTTATGATACACAGACTTTGGTGATTTATATGTGACCTTAATCACTGTTGGCACATGAGATGCCAGAGCGCTTTTTCTGCCAGTCGACCGATCCAGTGTGTGTGATCGTTGGTCACATCCATAACATAACTAACAGATGATGGTCAGAGTCTGAACTCTCTGCTCACACTTCACAGCCTTTGATGATATCACATCGGTTCAAAATGTAATATCAGTAAGACTGTAGAGTAATCATAATATGATTCTCTAAATGAAACTTACAGCATCCTGCATCAGAGCTGCAGAGGACGTACAAAAGATGATCTGATGAACATCTGTTCCTATCTAACTGACAGATTAATTCCTTAATTTGTAATCTGGAATGTAGAAAATGAGAGAACAACCAGTCATAATTTACTTTTAAAGTATTTTACTGCCATTATCAAAACATCACCTTCCTGAAATAATGGCCTAAGCTTTTCTTTGCCAAAAGTGATTTTATTTTTGGTCTAAATCAACTTTTGGCAAGATAGAAGTCAAAAATCACACACATGAACAAGGAATGAATGTTATTTTTCATGTATTAACTTAATTGTATTCACAGTGGATAAATATAGAGCATAAACATAAACCTGATACACATTCTCTGTTTCACATCTGTGGGCAGAATTCTGGAAAAACATGAAACCATCAACCAACATTTACTGATGTCACCTATCTCCTGCTCTGTGAAGAGTTTTTGTACAGCTTCTCTGTTCACATTAACCACTGTGCATATCTGGCACAGTAATACACAGCAGACTCCTCTGGTTTCATAGCAGACAGACTCAGATACACAATCTTCTTATTGGTGTCTCTGGTGATTTCAATACGTCCTTGGACATTGCTGGCATAAGCATTTCTTCCACTAGCCCAAATAACACCCATCCATTCCAGAGCTTTTCCTGCAGGTTGTCGGATCCAGTGTGTGCTATAGCTGGTGACAGAATAAGAGACCTGACAGCTGATGCTCAGAGTCTGACCTGGCTGTACAGTCAAAGAGGCTGGTTGTGTCAGCTGTTGACACTTCACACCTGTTGATGACAACATAAATTAATGAAAGTGTACAATCAATATGTGTGTCTCAGCATAATGTGAATGTCTCTGAGAGACTCACAGGGTCCAGCTGCCAGCAGCAGCAGCAGAGCTACAGAGAGCATGTTGGCGTGGAAGATGATCCAGTGAGAGCTGCTCTCTGATTGACAGGATGAGATCAATTTTAAAAAGCATGACATGTAATTTGAATAATAACCGACCAGCCAATCATGAACGACTATTGTACCGCCTAACAGCACAGCAGGAAATGTTTTTTCTAAACAGAATGCAGATTGTGATTTTGTCTGACTTCATGAAATGTACCTATTTTTCTCTTCATGAGAAAAAACATAAATTTCTTATAATAGTGCTATATTCTCCTCCATCCCTCTTCACACTTCATGAGAAAGACAATACATGTTCAATAACATATGATAGGAATATTTTTCATGAACCAAATATACTGGTTATATATATTGATTTTTCATGTTTTTTGCAGTACAAAAATATGCATAAAACAATGTTAATGATAGAATGTTGTGACTTATTGTTTCAGAGAATGATGTATATGATCTCGATATTAATCAAGAAGAAAGATGAGACAACTTTTTTGCTACATCTTACATTCAATGTTTTGTTTTTAACTGCAACATTACTGTGTTACATAGACATGTTTAATTGTAAAAATGTTAGCTATAATCTTTTATTTCTTCACATTATGACGTAATGTGAAGAAATATGTATTTGTTATATATTTGAGAAATTTGGTTGTAATAATCATGAAATATTCAACGGCCTAAGAGCGCCTCCTGTGGGTGAGAAGTAAAAATACATGTATTCAGGCTCAGGAGTTTTTGTTCAGCTCTGCAGTACATTTGTATCACTGTGGGTCTCTGGCACAGTAATACACAGCAGAGTCTCCAGGCTGCATATTCTGTCCATTCAGAGTCACTGTGTTACTGGAAGAGTCTATAGAAAGACTAAATTTGTTTCTGAGAGAATCTTTGTAGTATGTTGTTGATCCATCCGCTGCACTCCCAATCCACTCCAGTCCTTTTCCTGCAGGTTGTCTGATCCAAGCTGTGTAGTAGCTTCTAACAGAATAAGAGACCTGACAGCTGATGGTCAGAGTCTGACCGGGCTGCAGAGTCACTGAAGCCGGCTGTGTCAGCTGTTCACACTTCACTCCTGATAAAAACATATTTTGTCAGAAATTATGAGTAAAGGTTTAAAACAAATAAAATACTGACTGAGATAAATTGGAAGAAATTCACCTGCAGCTCCAAGGAACAGGAACAGAGCAGCACAAAACATGTTGACTGATGATACAGACGTCCTATGAAATCAACTCCACACTGTTGCATTTATATAGCAGATAGGAGGAGAAAAAGTATCATGTGATAATATGATGTGACAGTTTCGGTTTAGCAGAGCTGTTCTCCTTAGACTTGTTTTCTTTGGTTTCTGTCTTTAGTATGCTGATAAAGGAATCAAAAATAAAGTGCTAAGACCTTCAAAATGCATTGAGAAAAAAAATAAAAACCTTTGTTCATGTTTCATGAATTTAGGGCCATTTTAATTTTTATATTCTGTTTCATATCTGATGCAAAATTGAAGATGTGAAATATGAACTGTTTCTGCTGAACCACCTGCTGATGGAGCTAAAATCC